ACAAGACCCTCAAATTAAAGGAATTTTCAAAGCTGTTGTAACAACAAAGCCGAAAAAAACACTATTGAATGCCTGAGTCTTTCACACTGAACTTTTGCAGCTTTTAGAAAACAAATTCAGGTTTGGGCACATTTATTGCATACAGCCCAGCCATCCTCCCTCGAGGCTGTGCTGTTGAAAGTAAATCACGTTTCCCCAGGACTTGTGTGTGCTATAATTCAGCAGCTGAGAAATTGCAGCTCTGTGCTGTGAGAAGCCACAGCTGCAGAAGACACCTCAGCCAGGACGGCACAGGGCCTCCTTCTGGCCATCCCACAGCCATGCGCCTGCAGGATGCTGCCTCCACTGCCACCGAGTGGCGCATCTGCGTATTGGCATGGGAGGCCTCCTTCCCATGGGCATTTCACGGGGGCGGGGGTCTACAACTGCCGCCACGAGCTGCCCCTAGGGGAGAGCGAAAGCTCATCCAGACCTTTTTGTGTCGCGTTTCTAAGCCCAGGCCCATGCTTTAAAGCTCTGTGTCTGAGCACTTTTTTCCCCTTTGCCCCATAAAACCCTCTCTTTACTGAGGAAAACAATTTCACAGAAAACCCAAATTGCCATTTGTTCCAATTCAGTGTTGAAAAGTGGTTTTTCCTGGTAAGTGTGGGTGAGTTCCAAGGCTTTCTCCTCCCAGTGGCAGCACATGGGGTGGGAGTCTTGGGCCGGCCTGGATAGCGAACTTGGGCTCCTGGAATTAATGGGGAGCCCAAGTGAGCAGCAGGCCTGGTGATGCCATACTTTCAAATACATGAATATGAAATTAAACTCGTGATGAGAGGGGCTGAACGCCACCTTTCCCTGCTGTCGTAAGTGCTAGAAACATACTTAAGAAACAAAACTCAGGATTGAAAGGTGCCTCATAAGTGATTCGTTTCAACCAACAGCTTGATACAATTTTGCATGTTGACACACATTGGATGAGTTGTGGGCCTCGTGTGCAGCTAAACACAGGTAGCACAAGGATGAGCAGCCAGTACTGGAGTTGTTGTGTCCAGTGTGAATGACGGGTGGCTGAGCCTGTCCACCGCCTGCTTGCCTCTTCCGCTCCTGGTGATTCTCACAATGCGCTGCCAGGAGAGGGGACTGCGCTGTGTTTTGGTCAGGGAAGCTTCCCCTGTTGTACACGAAAGAAGGGGAACCTAAACATTAATTTATCTCCATGCTGCTCCAGCGACAGCTCAGAAAGGACATGATGGCAGGGGCAGAAAGCCCTTTTTGTTTGGCCATTCTGTTGTGCTAGACTTCTTCCAATGAAGCTGGCAAGAGTAGCCCTTTAAGTTCAGCGGAAGAACAAAAATGCAGTCCCGTCTCACAATTAAGCACAGCATCAAACTGAGAAAGGATCAATTGAGCCTAGAGGAGAAAGCTCCCCATGTGACAGATTCCAGAAAGTACGTGATACACCATGCCCAGAGCTAGTACATGCCTGCTGTGCTTCCCAGTACATGATTAATTTGACTCAGGGCAGCAGGGCTGCAGGCAAGGAATCTGCAGCACTGGCTGGAAAGTTTTAACTCTTGGAAGGCTGGATGCGCAGCTGAACAGGAAGCAGAAACAAAGAAAGGCAGGCAGGAGGGAGGGAGGGAAGGAAGGAAGGAGATTTTTTAGATTTTTGAATGATCATATCTCTGGGATTGGGGGTGGAAACAAGCCCCCCCCCCAAAAAAATAGATGCACAATCTATTTTCCTGACAGCACTTTTGCCCTTCCCTTCCCCAAAGTGGTCTCTCTCTCTCTCTCTCTCTCTCTCTCTCTCTCTCTCTCAGCCCCTTTGCTTTGAACAAAGGAGGAGTGAGCGACTGACCATTGTGCCTTTTTGGATGACTGTCTCGTTTAATTCAAGTTGCCATTGTCTGTCCTCCAGCACTTCCTTGTTTTCTCACTGTGGGTGTAAGCAGGCGGCGGCAGGGGGATGGGGGCGGGCGGGCAGGGGGGTTGGTGTTCCTCCATCTACTTGCCTTGCTTTATAGCCATGGACAGATTAGATATAATTCATATTTTAGCCTCTTTAATTGAAGGAGGGAGAGCAATTTGGCAGTGTTCCTCTAAGGCAGGTTGATGGAGCTACAGCACCAAGCGGAGACCGTGAAGTCAGAGTGGAGCAAATGTGTTTATGCTCCCGTCAACTAAATGTTACCCTGTGGTTGCATGCAGTACTCGCCCTGGTGGCTTTTCTTCCCCCCACAATATGCTCCTAGGACGGGGCAAGTCATCCTTCCCTTGACAGTCATTTTTATTCTGAAACTACACCGAAGACACTTTTCTCCACCACCCCCCACTACAGGCTCCAGACCTATGAAGAAAACACAGGACTGGAACCCAGTTAGTAGGGTGGGTGGGTAGGAGCAGAGATTTCTGGGAAGAGACTTTCAGGAGAACAACCGGTGTGGGAGGGTGGAAGAAAATTTTCCTGCTCCAATAGTGATACTGAAGCTGCTTCTCCCAGGACCCCCACATTTGAGTGCTTGAGAACCCACCTGCTGGTGACCCACCCAAATGAGCAGCAAAGACTATTGGGATGGGAAGGAGACAGTTCCCACAACCAAAATCTTGGGCCTCTCTAGATGGTTGGATGCCACAGATTCGCTTCCAGAGCAGCCTGGAAGAAGGTGGTGTCCCATTTGCCAATAGACCAGCTGCAGGACCAGATGGTGATAGTCATAAAAGAAATATGGAAACTGCCTCAGGGAGGGGGCCTCTTCCTGTAGCTCTCATTCCTGTGCCAAGGTTGCAGTTCAGGACCATGCCAATGTCACCAATGCCTGGTGGGCAGCTGGCCAGGTACAACGGCCGGACGATAAATGGGCAAATAAATCTGCAGCAACCCAAACCACTCTCCCAGGTGTGGTCTGAGACCTTTCCCCATAACAGGTAATAGCCTACATGCCTTCAAAATAGTCCAAGAGAGCCTCTCTGAGATTGGATCAATCTGCAGGATAGCCACTCCTGAAGCCTAAGAAGACCTGTGGAAAGTGAGACCGGAGGGGCATATAGATGGCAAATAATAACGTGCCCCCCACCCTTTGTCGTATTTGGTTTACCTTATTGAAACGCTTGCTTTCCTTCACAAAAACTCCAAAATATTTCCTAAGGTGGGGTCCCCAAATTTGCTTCATAGTTCGTTTTACATGGAATTTCAATTGAAACTCTAATAGATAACCAGAGATACAACATATCTCTGTGAAATCCCATATCCAAGCTGCCAAGGCGCTGAGCTGGCATCTCCTAAGGTGGTCATTTCTGCCTCAGAACACAACTGACAATAAACAAAATTCATAATAAACACAAGACCATTTAAAAAGTGGTGGTGACTGATGAAGACTTATGTCCGTGGTGGTGAGCATGGTGTCCGCTCTCCTGGCCTCAGATGTTGTGGTTGCTGCCATGATGGCGGTTTCAAGTGAAGGCCTTCCAATGTTCCAGAGTGATCACAGAAGACAACCCCTCTCCCCGCCTTCTGTACCCCTCCAAGAAATGTGCAGATATTTCGGCCTCTAGGGAGCTGGACGTCCTATAGCTCCTGACTCTTCCCTCTGGGAGAAGCGATTTGTGAAGGCTCCAGGTGGACAATTATGTTGAACACCAGTTCACCCAGGCTTCAGGTGGAGCTGCAGAAGTGGGCTCCAGGCAACCAGGACCAGGTAGGGCCAGATCTTTTAGTCACTTGGGCCCTTCACGCACTCTCGTTAAAAGTCCCACTGTGTCAGAAGCCACTGGAAGACCTGAAAATTCCACCCAAACATAAATGCATTCAAGCACGTTTCCTTGTGCCATCTCTGACCCTCACATGGTGTGCTGTCAAGGGAGAACCATGAGGCAGCCCATGTTGCAGGGGACTAAGACCTCCAGTTCTCTTCCCATGATAATTATAGCTAGGGCTTTTTTTCAGCCAGAAATCACCAGGAATCATTTCCGGCACCTCTCAGGCAGGCAACATTGCCATTCTAAGAGAACGAGGAAGGTGGTCATGGTGAGTTCTAGCACCTCTTTTTGCAGAACGATAACACTGCTTACCGCCGGTTCAGAAGTCATTTGGGGGTATGATTGTGAAACTAAGATGTTTTTTGTCGCAAAGTACATCATTTCCTAAATTACCGTGAATTCATCTGCCAGTTGGTTATCCTTTACTTTTGGATAAATCCTTGGCCATCTGCTTAGGATGTTAAGATCTGGAACAATTTGGTGCCATCGACAACTCTTTGTTTTAAGTCACAGTGGCTGCCAAGCTATAAAATGGCTGCCAGAATCCCAGCAGATCACTACAGTGAGCAATGACCAGAGTACTATAAGAAATAATGGGTTTGTCTATGGCTGCTGCATGTATCCCTGACTGTGCCTGCCCTTTATCTCACTGCAAGGCTCCACGGGGCCTTCCTTCTCGCAGTGTCAGTGGTCGCTAGAGGATGTCTGGCAGGCAGCACAGGGCAGAGTACGAGAGACAGGCAATAAGTCAGAACCAAGTAAGTAGTCCCCAAGTCGGATAGATGTGAAAAGGGGTCTCGAGGGTCAGGAAAATGCAGCAGCCGAAGAATATGGATTGCAACCAGGCAACTTCCTCACAAAACTAGCTCAGTCTAAGGAGGTGCAGGTAGATGCAGAGGGGGAACGAACAGCATTGCTTTTGGAGCCTGAGGGCGGGCTGGCTCCCCTCATCACACAGAACACCCAGATCCTAGTTCCTGGATTAAATTTCTAGCTGGGTTTAATGTTGAAAAGTTTACAATAGGGAACCTGCTCCCTGCAGGGTGGTTACCTGTGTAGGGGATGCACCTCATATTAGGACCACAACCCATTTTAAAAATGTTTCCCTCATGGCTCAGTGGTAGCACATGTGCTATGTGTACAAAATGTCCCTGGTTCCATCTCGTTAAAAGGATCAATGGGAAAGGCATGTACCAGGGGCTGGTCAGAGGTGACAATAGGTTATTGTTATAATATATTTATTTGTTGTTTTTTTAAAGATATTTATTAAGATTTTCAAAATATTACAAAATAAAAAAAAGAAAAAAGAAAAACACAAAATAAAAATAGTTAAAAACAATTCAGTCTTTCAATCACTTATCTTTCATTTGCTTATTTCCCAGACCTCCTCACGCCTCCCTTTTCTGTATTCCAATTCAGTTTGTTAGTTCAGCAAATCCCTCCCTCTTTGTTTATCCTAATCTTCAATCTTAAAGTATTGTAACATTAGATTTTTACCTATTAATAGTCCATTTTTTCATATTCCCTTATAACATTACAGCTAGAAACCACTTAGTTTCTATCCAACATCATTCTAACATTCATTAATTTTACAATATTTCTGTAAATAGTCTTTAAACTTTTTCCAATCTTCTTCCACCGACTCTTCTCCCTGGTCTCGGATTCTGCCAGTCATTTCTGCCAGTTCCATATAGTCCATCACCTTCATCTGCCATTCTTCCAAGGTGGGTAGATCTTGTGTCTTCCAATACTTTGCAATAAGTATTCTTGCTGCTGTTGTGGCATACATAAAGAAAGTCCTATCCTTCTTTGGCACCAATTGGCCGACTATGCCCAACAGGAAGGCCTCTGGTTTCTTTAGAAAGGTATATTTAAATACCTTTTTCATTTCATTATAGATCATCTCCCAGAAAGCCTTAATCTTTGGGCACGTCCACCAAAGGTGAAAGAATGTACCTTCGTTTTCCTTACATTTCCAACATTTATTATCGGGCAAATGATAGATTTTTGCAAGCTTGACTGGTGTCATGTACCACCTGTATATCATTTTCATAATATTCTCTCTTAGGGCATTACATGCCGTAAATTTCATACCTGTAGTCCACAACTGTTCCCAGTCAGCAAACATAATGTTATGTCCAACATCTTGTGCCCATTTAATCATAGCAGATTTCACCGTTTCATCCTGAGTATTCCATTTCAACAGCAAGTTATACATCTTTGACAAAATCTTAGTTTTGGGTTCTAACAGTTCTGTTTCTAATTTTGATTTTTCCACCTGGAAGCCAATTTTCTTGTCCAAATTGTATGCCTCCATTATCTGATAATAATGAAGCCAGTCTCGCACTTTATCTTTTAATTTCTCAAAACTCTGCAATTTCAATTTGTCTCCTTCTTGTTCCAAAATTTCCCAATATTTCGGCCATTTGGCCTCCATACTGAGCTTTTTCTGAGCCTTTGCTTCCATCGGTGACAACCACCTTGGGGTTTTATTTTCAAGTAAGTCCTTATATCTTATCCAGACATTTAACAATGCTTTCCTAACAATATGGTTTTTAAATGCTTTATGTGCTTTAACCTTGTCATACCACAAATATGCATGCCACCCAAAAACATTATTGAAACCTTCTAAATCCAAAATGTCTGTGTTCTCAAGAAGCAGCCATTCTTTCAACCAGCAGAATGCTGCTGATTCATAATAAAGTTTAAGGTCTGGCAGGGCAAATCCACCTCTATCCTTTGCATCAGTTAATATTTTAAATTTTATTCTGGGCTTCTTGCCCTGCCAGACAAATCTAGAAATGTCTCTCTGCCACTTCTTGAAACAGTCCACTTTGTCCAAGATTTGCAATGATTGAAACAAAAATAACATTCTTGGCAATACATTCATCTTTATAACAGCAATTCGACCTAACAAGGAAAGCTTCAAGTTTGACCATATCTCTAGGTCCTTTTTCACTTCTGACCAACATTTCTCATAATTGTCTTTAAATAGGTTTAAGTTCTTAGCAGTCATATTAACCCCCAGGTATTTTACTTTCTTAACCAATGTTAAACCTGTCTCCTTCTGAAACCTCTCTTTCTCAATCGGTGTTAAATTTTTCTCAAGCACCTTAGTTTTTAACTTGTTCAACTTAAATCCTGCCACATGACCAAATTCCTGAATCAATTCTAATACTCTTTTAGTACTAGATTCTGGCTCCTGTAACGTCAATACTAAATCATCTGCAAAAGCTTTCAATTTGTACTGTTTGGCTCCGACCTGTATACCTTTGATCAGACGGTCCCTTCTGATCATATTTAGCAGAACCTCCAGGACCGAAATAAAAAGCAATGGGGAAATTGGGCAGCCTTGTCGTGTCCCTTTCTCTATCTTAAATTCCTCTGTCACCACATTGTTAACTATTAGTTTAGCCTTTTGTTCTGAATAAATTGCACTTATACCATTTTCAAACCCTTGACCAACCCCCATCCCCTGAAGATTTTTCTTCATGAAACTCCAAGAAATATTGTCAAAGGCTTTCTCCGCATCTACAAAAATTAAAACAGCTTTAGTATTAATATTCACTTGCAACATCTCCAAAATGTTGATTATATTCCTCGTGTTGTCAGACAAGTGTCTACCTGGGAGAAAGCCAGCTTGGTCTTTATGTATTTCCTCCACTAATACTTTTTTTAACCTTTTAGCCAAAATATCTGCAAAAATTTTATAATCCACATTAAGCAGGGATATGGGGCGGTAGTTCTTAAGTTGTGTCTTTTCAGACTCATTTTTCGGTATTAGTGTAATATAAGCTTCCTTCCACGACTCTGGCGCTTTTTCCCCCTCCAAAATTTCATTACAAACCTCCTTTAGTGGTTGAATTATCCAGTCCTTCAAGGATCTATAATATTTTGAGGTTAAGCCATCTGGCCCTGGAGATTTGCCCAACTGCATGTTCTGGATGGCACCTTCCACCTCGTGTTCTGTTATTTTGTAGTTCAACATTAACTTATTTTCTTGAGAGATTTTTTGAAGTCCATTTGTTTTTAAGAATTGGTCTAAATCAACCTCTTTCTGTGGCCCTTGTGTATATAACTGTTTAAAGTATCTCTGGAAGCATTTTCTAATTTCCACTGGATTCTGGATGTTCTTTCCTTCCACTTCCAAGTTGGTAATGGTGTTAAGTTTTTGTCTTTTTTTCATTTGCCAAGCTAACAGTTTTCCACATTTATTGGCCGATTCAAATGTCCTTTGTCTCATCTGTTTAATTTTCCATTCTATTTCCTGATTCATCATCTTCATATATTGAACTTGGTATAACTTTATTTCTCTCAGAATCTCTCGTGACTTTGGTTTCGCTCTCAGTTTCTTCTCACTCTCTTTTATTTTTTCCAAAATTTTATCTTTTTTCTCATTTTGAGTTCTCTTCTTTATTACATTCTGTTGAATTAGAAACCCCCTCATAACTGCTTTGCTTGCGTCCCAGATTACTCTTTTTTCAATGGTAGTGTTCATATTTATCTCAAAATAGTCTCTCAAGGTTTTTTGGGCCTTCTTGGTATATAATATATTTATTTGTACTCTGCCTGTTTTCCTGGCAGCGACTCAAGGCAGCTTACAGATAAAACAGGAACAGCTAAAAACATTTTTTTAAATCATTCAAAACCAATTAAACATTCATAGAATTAAAACTATATATAAATATAAAATATCTATTAAAAATGTACAGGTAATGTCAATAAAAACAGCATAGCACCAGGCCTTTCATTAAGAGCAGTCATACTCAGTGGGTGAGTGGCCGGTCCTGGTCCAAGGGAGCTACTGTTGCAGGAGACGCTATTTACCATCAGGACATTTTGGTAAACTTCAACAATATTGTTCGAAATAAATGCCCAAACCAAAATACTTGGATTTAAACCTTACCTTTTTTTTAAGGGGTGGAGGAATAATAGAGATGGCAATTCTACTTTAACCAGATCAGCTCCAAAGCTAGTGCTGCCAGACATCCTACTTTGCAGAGGGCAATTCTCTGTTTTGAAGGTCTGTCTGAGGACAGTCCTCTGTCTGGAGGTCTCCTCTATTGGAAGACTATCCAGCTGAAATTTGGTTTAAAGGTGAAAACTCTAAAACAGAAGAGCAGGGCCCATCAATAGTTAGCACACAAGTCACCTGCTCTCTGCCCCACTGGGTGGAAAGATGGATTGTAGTTCCATTCACATTATAATTCTGCTCTGGTCCGACCTCACCTGGAGTACTGTGTCCAGTTCTGGGCACCACAGTCCAAGAAGGACACTGACAAACTGGAACGTGTCCAGAGGAGGTCAACCAAAATGGTCAAAGGCCTGGAAATGATGCCTTATGAGGAACGGCTAAGGGAACTGGGCATGTTTAGCCTGGAGAAGAGGAGGTTAAGGGGTGATATGATAGCCATGTTCAAATATATAAAAGGATGTCACATAGAGGAGGGAGAAAGGTTGTTTTCTGCTGCTCCAGAGAAGCGGACACGGAGCAATGGATCCAAACTACAAGAAAGAAGATTCCACCTAAACATTAGGAAGAATTTCCTGACAGTAAGAGCTGTTCGACAGTGGAATTTGCTGCCAAGGAGTGTGGTGGAGTCTCCTTCTTTGGAGGTCTTTGAGCAGAGGCTTGACAACCATATGTCAGGAGTGCTCTGATGGTGTTTCCTGCTTGGCAGGGGGTTGGACTCGATGGCCCTTGTGGTCTCTTCCAACTCTATGATTCTATTCTATGATTCTATGATTCTATGATTCTATAATAATTTCTGGGTGTGTGTCTATACAGAAAAATTGCCATATGCAGATGGAAGGCAATTTTGTATCCACTTTTTTGGTGATGTTAACCCTCTTTTTCTTTTCTTTTCCTTGGCAATGACTAGCCTACCAAAAGGCCAGATGGAGCAGATATTCTTCGAAAAGCCCGGGTGCCATGTTTTTACACTGCTATAGAAATCCCTGCTTCCCAGTTCCGACTTTTGCTGCAATGAATCCTCTCACCTCCTGAGAGGAAGGTGCTTGAGAATGCAGGATACAGCAGTAAACCAGCTTCAAGAATTCCTGGAAGCAACTGATTATCAGGACCTATTTCAGTCGGGCTTTGAGCCTGTTTTGGGGAGAGAAATGCTCTTGATCACCCTAGTAGATCGCCTTCTCCAGGAACTAAAAAGGAGTGTTTATGGTACCTTTCTTCATGATTACAGACCTGCCCCACTCTCCCAATTCAAAATGGGGGGGAGGGGAAGCAGGCAGGCTGGAGAGAGACTTTTTATTTTGTTTGTTCCAGTGTCACATCCTGGTTGCACTGCGACCTGGTTGCTCGGGGTTCACTCAGCCATGGAGCTCACCTGGGCCACTCAGCTTCTCAGCCTAATCTACTTCAGAGGGTTGTTGTGGGGGTTAAGTGTGGAGGGGGGAGCTCCATGGAGAAAAAGGTAGGATATAAACGCAAAACATAAAGTAATTTAATTTATCAGTATTGTGTTTATATCCATTCCACAGAGCATAAGCCGCTGTTATTGAAGATTGAAGTTGGAGTGGGCCAAGGGGAGTCTGGAGATGAGGAGGTTCCTAGCTTTGGAGAGACCTTGAAATTTGATTTTAAATTCATTTTGGATTATATCGAGGACTGTGGGGAGTGGGACTGTGGGGAACGGGTGAGCTGGATGAAGGGTGATGGAGACAATTTTGGGTTGGAATCCCCAGAGACCTACTCCTCAATGAGAAAGGAAAGAAACTAAGACAGAGACCAACAAGACACAAGGAAAGAGGCAAGCACAAACAAGATGAAGAAGAATTGCAGAAGGGACATGGAAGAGATTTAAGGGCCTCGGACATAAGGCTTCCAGGTTGATGGACTAGATGGAATGGACAATAAGGACTGACATGACCCGAGACCAGGAAGAAGAGACGCTGGATGATGATTGGAAGAGAATTTATAATGGAATTTTTTATTTTAGAATCAGCTAATGAATATTAGTGAAAATGTGGGAATGAAACTATACGACTCTAGCAGAAATGATATCAGGAGCTATGTATATTTGAAATTTAAGATTTAAGTCTTAAGGCACTTAGGGGTAAGATAAGGTTAAATAAATTAAGGTAATCTGAATAACAGAATATGGGGAAAGATGGTAAGGATTTGTCGAGTTAATTATTAGGTTAAATTGTTAAGATAAATTTTATAACAAAAATTGAGAAAGATGGAAAGAATTTGCTGAAATAATTACTAAACTAGAATACAAAAACGGAGGTGTGAGGAGGTCAATGAAACAAGCAAATGGAAATTATGGATATGCAATTTGGGATTTGTATTTTTTTTCTTTTTTCTTCTTTTTTACCTTCTTTTGCTGTATTGTCGTATTGGTTTTCATGTTTTGTGCTTTTCTCTCTTTTTTATTGTAGTGTTGTTTTTTGTTTTTTATTTTTCTTGTAATTTTGAAATTATCAATAAATATTATTTTTAATATATGTATATATATATATATATATCCATTCCACCTTTACTTTACGCCATTGTTTTACACTTCTTTACATTGAATTGCATTTGTAATTTCAGTGTCCGTTCACTCAGTTTTAAGCCCGTTGTTGTTGTTCTAGTGACCCTGAACAACTTAGTATCATCAGCAAACTTGCCCCTTCACGGCTTACTTCTAACTAGATCACTGATGAGCACATTAAAAAGCACAGGACCAAAC